GGGTGAGCAAGGGATCGAGAGAGGGATTGAGGGATCGAAATGTGCCAGCGTGCCAGTGTGCCAGTTGTGCGAGTGCCAGCGCGGTGCATCATGCATCAGTCCATCTCGGCGCAGTAGAGGCTAGACCAGCGTACCAGCGACGGGCTGCGGGTCAAGTCGAACGGACCTGGTCCCATTGTGCCTCCAGCGTGCGTGCCAGGTAAAGTGCCAGCGGTTGGCGCGCCGGGCGCGCCGGGGGCGTCGATTCATCCCAGACGCGCTGGCACCGCGACTCCAGTCCAGCGTCCAGCCCAGCCAGAGCCAGAGCCAGAGCCAGAGCCAGACCCAGAATACGTGCCAGCCAGGACGCGTGCGGGACTAAACTGCAGAGCCCTAACCGCCTTGCGAGCCTGAGCCTGGGCTACAGCGTGGGCCCTCTGCTCCCGTGCCCTCTGTTAGCTCTGTTCGACCTCCACCTCGAGCTCCTCACTAGGGCCGTCTGACCATCGCGTCGCGTCCACCGCTTCCTCAGGCTTGCACACCCACTCTTCATGTCTCTGTCCGCCGAAAACTACGCTCATGTAATGTCCAGGCACACACCCAGAAACCCATCTACCGAGCAGGCCGGCTACATGATGCTGACGCGTTGTCGGTTCTCGAAGCATGCGAATAGTTTGGGTACTGACCGGGTACTGGGTGACGGGTGACGCAGATGAAGGGCGGGGGTTATGCATGTGTGCGATCGGCGCTGACAGGGGAAGAGATCGAAGCCAATCTACCCAAACTGCGTTTGATCTGCCTTCCTCCTACGATCTTACTCGCTCTCCGGCAGATCCTTGTCTCTGCGACAACGTGCGGGGCCAGAACACAGGAGGCACAAGCACGCATCTGTTACGCGCCGACCACGGCCGATAACAGTCAGCGACTGAATCACTGAATCGCACTAGTCTTCTTGCTCGCACTACGAAACGACCTGGAAAGCGCATGCGACACACCACAGGGCTATAGCGCGTCGTGTCGAGCAATTCATGGCTGGTCCTGATTGACCTGACTGGGTCTTCCACGTCTTCCCTCTATTCGTCTTCCTCATCTTCTTCGTCTTACACTTGTCCATCGTCGTCTAATTCGCTTATACTGATGCTTCTGCTGTCTGCCCGCCTTGTTGCCGCTGCTGCTCCTTTGGGGCGTCGGCATCGTTTATTAACGGCAAGAAGGCGCGCAGAACTCGTCCTACCTGTCGGGCCATGGAATTCTAGGTGTCCAACGCCCGAAGGGCCCAAGTCCGGTCCGTGCAGAACCTTAATACGCCTCTCATTCTCTTTCTGGACTTTCTGGACCCGTTTAGTCTCCGCCGCAGTATCCAAGATAGGCTTGCGGGCAGCGGGGGGCAGGCTACAGATTGGCCGGACGGGCAGAAGCAAGATACTCTCGGCGGTCAGCGTATCGGCGCACCAGCGCACCCAGTGATGGAGCCGACCCGGCACGAGGATATTTCAAGGTGCAATCGCGGTCAGGTAACTCATCCGACTGCATGTCGGACAGAACCAGGTCCGCAACAGTAGACTGCAAGATGACCGCGGGAAGGTCTTGCTCGATGCCGGACTTCAGTCAGCAGGTCTGTGGTCATTGGTCCACCGGCTCGCCGATGCCTGACGAAGCTTGAGCTGAAACTCTACCGGCTCCTTGTGGTCCTGGGACCCTTCCTGTTTGTCGTTCATTGCCGCATGTTCGTGTGTCCACTGCCGCTGCGGTGGCTATTCGTCTGAACGTCTGAATGGTCGGGGTCGTACGGGGTGATGCGCTGCTCGATCTGTCGAGTTTGGTCCCAGAAATGAACTCCGTCTGCATTCGACTCAGACAACGCATTTTAAGCTGCGACGCGGAACGCCCATTCTAGACGTGGTAAGTTGTCCACATTGGGGCTTGTGTTGCACATAGTTGCATGCTCTTTGAGTGATTGATGAGGGTGAAAGAAATCGTGAGAGGGGAAGCGTACTTCCAAAGATATCCTGGGCATGGTAAGCGGCAGCCTTTTCTGTTGTGAGTTGCGTGCATTGAGAGGAAGGAGAACGGCTGCTGTGCCATGGTAGCCGGGGAGATGGAAGATGCGACCATCAGTGAAGAGACCGCAGCCCCCGCAAACAAAAAGTGGGGCGTTACTATATTCCGCTACAGAC